GTCGGCACCGGCGAGAGGTCCCACTCCTATCGACGCCATGTTTTCGGCGCCCACTTATCGACCGATGAAAGAGTCGCCGATCTCTCAGTTGGGAAACATTCCGTACGTGAAATTGGCCGCCAGTGGTGTCGCCGAACCCATCACTCATGAGCTCAAACTGAAGACACAATCGGAAAGACCGGTGACCGTAAGGATAGCGCCGATGCCTCAGAATATGTCGAAATACACGTTGAATCGCATCTCAAGCATGAATTCATCGCAAGAGTCGATATACGCGCCCAACGCCTACACAATGCGGACGACAACTCAAACCAATTCCAAGTCAATCGCTGAGGCATTGAAGAGAAAACGCGGACAAAAGCCAGAGTCGGAAACGGAGGACAGTATCAAAGTGTCGACCAATAAGAAGGCGAAACGCGATTCACTGAATGTGCCGATTGTGGCCAACGGTTTGATACCGAATAGTTCTCCCAATAAGAAGTCCATCAAAAGACCGCCAGTCGATGGAACCGCTATTTTACACAAACGGTTCAAAAATAATGAAATATTTAGTTCTTATAGTTCTATGAAAACGCCGCAAACGTTATCTCAAACGATGAAAACTAAACGCAAATTAACGCCCGATTTGGTCGACACGACTGAAGTTAAGACCAGAAGAGGTTTATTAGAGGACGAGTCCCGGGATTTGGGGGCCGAACCCAAGACTCTCTCGTCTGAGACACCAATTTGTTTGACAAACAATTCTTTGACTGAAATTACGGTCGAAGTGGAAGAAAATGTTTCAAAGAAATCGTTTGAAATTCCCGTTAATTTGCATTCAATGGCTGATCACGAAAGAGATCGAAATAAAGCCAGAAGTCGTTTAAATCGCTATTTAAATGCTGTTAAAGAAGTGACTTCTCCTAAGAATGACACTAAATCTGTTGAAATCACTAGAGAAGAGCCAATCATATCATCAGAGATAGGTTTGCCATCAGTTCCCGCGGCAGCCATTTTCACCAATTCAAGAATCGAGACGAACGTCACCACAACTCTTCTCAATACTCCCATCTCTTCAGTGTTGACTACCTCTCCATCGAGAGATACGCTATCACTTCCGAAGATTACTGCCGACAACTCGGAGAACTGTTCCATGACTTCGGCGCCCAATTCGCCCGAAGTGTCAGTAGCCGTCACGACGTTCTTGAGTACGACTCCAGCCCTGACATCAGTGGTCTCGGCTTTAGCGACGACGACGACGGCCGCCACTAATAATCTATCCTTCAATTTTAACCCTAATCTGAGTTCAGCTCTAAAATCAACGCCAGGAGCTCTGGGCTTGACGTCATCTAATAACATATTCAATGGAGTGGGCAATACATCGACGCCAAGTGCGCCCATCCCGAGCACATCCAGCACCTCATCGACACTATCAGTGCCGCAGTTCACATCTTCGACTCCTATTTCAATACCAAACTTCACTCAATTGGGAGGCAATAGTGGGAACCCATTCACTGCCAGCGCTCCCGCGTTCACTAACCCTCAGCCAAACGCATATTCAGGCAACGACACGGCATCCAATCCGCTCTTTTCAATGGGCACAGGCGTCGCTTCCACCAGACGTACCGCTCAGTCGTCGAGACTTCGGTCGCGGCAAAAGAGATAACACATTGTTTATAATGACTTGAGTTTATTTAGTAAATGAAATGTCAAACTTATTTGTTTTGTTTTTTATATATATGTAAACATAGAAATGAATGAATGGATGCGTTGACCGATTGTCTCATTTTACACATTATAATTTCATTTTTATAATATATATAAATAATTGAATTATTAATTTATCCGTTAATTGGAATCATTTCTTATCAATAATATTGTATTTATAGTATAAAAAATAATAAACGTATCGCTCGTTCCGTTAGTTTTTTAATTCACTAAATGCTTGTTTAACTCCTTCGGTATACATAGAGTTCGCGCGAACGACTCCTTCTGGACCTCGAGTGGTGAGTGTTTCGGTCGTCTCTATTGTAGGGAGACTTCGATCGTCGCCTCGATTTCCTGCTGTTATGACTGGAATACGAGTGATGTTTAGTGTTTGAGTGGTTGT